CTGTTATTTCACTATATTTTTTAAGTTCCATCGACAACGCTCATTGTAATTGACTTGCAAATTTTCCTGTTCAGAGATACGGTAGAAGATTGAAGATAAAAGCTAATTTCTATATTTCTAAAAATAGAAATTCATAGCACAGTTCATTCATGAAGTGATCAATTATATTTTTGCATGGGCATTACCTTGAGAACTGTCGTTAATGCGTCCTAGTCATGAATACATTAAAATGAAAATGACAAGCGTAAGTGAAGATATTATGATCATTATATAATATTAGTGGTGTATTCTTGAGAGCACGAATCACGTGAATTTAATTCATGAATACCATGCAGAAACGCGCTGATAAGATATCTTTGCGCGGCAAACGAAACGTGGGAGCAGGTATATATAAAAAGAATATAATTCTTAATAAAAAATTAATCCCGCGCACGCGTGTGAAAATCATGTGAAAATTGATTAGTTGTAGCGAAATAAATATAATAATTGAAATTGAATCGATTGCTGAGAAAAATGAGAATGATGGAAGATTAGAAACAGAATTTTTTGCATGGTATAACTACCCAAACATTGTATAACATCTTGATGAAGCTTCGAAAAGGCTCATTGCCAACTCCACTAAGATTTTTTTACATACTTTCAGATGCGAACGCATGAAATAACTGTATTACTTAGGAAGTTTTTAAATCATTACAAAGGAAGTTATAAAAAACAAATCACTCCAAATCAAGAAAGTACATGTAGCCAAAATTATTCACAAATCGTCTAAGTACTTTGTTTTCCCGAAATTGTACACCTACAAAAAACTCTTAAATCAGACGGTCATCACACCATCACAAAGCGCACTCTTAATCGGCAAAACTGACACTGTATTGGAAGAAGCTGAAACTAAAGCGCAACGCACAATTGTGATAAAAAAAATCGTTTGTTCGTTAAATGCGCAAGAAGACTGAACTGAACTGCAGTATAGTTTTATTGAACATCGATATTAACAGCGTCGCATAATCGAACGGACTATGAAAAACTGCAGGAGATACCAATTGATTGCAGGTAACAAAATATTCCGCCTTTTTGTTACATGCGATCAATTATATATTATCTTCCGCCGTACTGAGTTTAATTGTGGATGAATAACAGCTCAAATCTAACTTCTATATATCATCATAAAATTTCAATTATTTTACTTTGAGTTATCATACCCTTTATGATTGTAATTGCGAGGGGTTTAAAACAAGAAACTTTCTCAAAAATATTTGAAAACATTTCATGACATTTTTGAACAACTAATCGCATGTTTATTTAACAAGAACACTGCAAACTTGAATTCTATCATTCTCAGGGGCGGACCTAAACTGAGGTAAAGATGAGACTTAATCGTACTGCTTGTGTCGTGCTAACCCAACTGTCAGGCCGCTCTGTTCTGTACATGTCTGAAGTAGACGGGATGGACAAGAAGTTCGACTCAGGCGATCGGTTTCCGCGATCTACTGACTTGATGGAGAACAAAACGCATAGGCTGAGGCCAGGCGCCTGGAAACAAGCCCTGTCGAAGTATAAAATGCGTACTTCGCATTTCGCGAAGTTTGTTTTTTCACTATTTTCATCTATTACACTAATAAATAAAAATATAGTCTTATACATTATTCTCATATATATTTTCACTATAGTTACACCTCTCTCCATCTCGATGTAAATGATGCGCGGCTTCCGAGATGAAGGCGGCACTGGGAGGCGCCTACGCTCCTTCCTTGTGGTGGATCTGCCTCGGGACTCGCAGGAGAGAGTCCTATTTTTGTGAGATATGTGGTGATTTTCTTTCATCAAGGTCACATATATATGTCTCGCTTGATGGATGCATTTACAACTTTGTTCCAAAAGCTTAACATAATTTTCATTATGCTTCCAAAAGCTTAAGAAATGGCGCTAGTCTCAACGACATTTATTGACGAGAATAAGTTGGTTGCAGAGACTGAAGCAGATGAGGACGCTCGAGTTTCGGAATGAAGGAAACCAAACGAATAATTTGTGTCGCAGCCTAAATTTGTATTGCGGCTAATTATGCCAACTCGGTTGTAAGGTAATTAATATAATGCAGAGGTTTGCATATTTCCTTTTGGGCACTAATTTAATACATTTTAACTGCTATCAATTCCATTTCGTTAACCAAATGGATGTGCTCTTGGTTATTCAAGTCGACCTTTATTACCGTGCCGAATTTGCATCTCGGACTTTGTATTTAAATATTATTGTAATTCTTATTTCACCCTCATTTTCTATTATAAAATTTACCCTTTTGTCCACTTTCTTCATTCATGCTAGAATTTGAGCTGATATTATACTTCTACCAAAAAATGGATTCGTAGATAAAAATGGAAATAACTCCAATAAAATAGATACAACTCTATCAAAAGGATATGCGAATGGAGTTAAACGATAACTCGGGTTATTATCGAGCGCAAAGCTTGTGAAATTTTTTTAGCATGAGCGTTTGGTCAAACTCAATTATATTTACAAAATTCGTTAGTTGGGAGATTAAGGTATCATTATTTTTAGGTTACGGACGGTCTATTTTATGGCCTTCCTTGCCATAGGGAGATAAGTATCACGATTGATGCCTTCACTAATCTTCACATTCAAATGATGTTCACGAATTTTATGTATCATGTCGAACATAAATTCATCCTCCTCTATGTCGTAGGGATCAGTGAGGCCGAAAATGACATATTTATTAATGTATATTAATAAATGAACACAAATTAAAATGCAAGTAATTAATTAGAAGCAAAATCTACAAGCAAACTTCGGTTAAATTTTGCTTGATCGTCAAAATTCTTAAGCGCATAGGTGCGCACAATCATGGTTTATAGCTACGTGTGCGATCATGGTTATGTACACTTTCTTCGTTGATATTTTAAACATTAGAATTCGGCAAGATTATTATTAATTTCCGAGTTTCTGGTTAGAATTCTAAAGGGTTACGATCGTCCAAAATGTCAATATAAACTGAGAGAAAATTAAATTCAAGGGACGTACTGGCTGTATAATTGAAAGCAATGTTTGACCAGCACTTGTAGCGGGCAAGCCACTCCCAAAAGCGGCTCCTCTGGCCGAACGGGAAGAGTTAACTGCGAGAAATTCATGAGATATTTTTTTCTGAATATCGATGCTTTTTTTTCTCCTTATGTGGGTCATTTTAACCCAGTTTTGTTATGAAAAAGAACTTATCAGTGCTATTTGCAGCGAGGGTGCCACTTTTTGGACTAGATAAACCGTCCAATTTTGAGTGCTGGGAGCAGCTACCGTAGAAGTTGCGGCATGTAAGGCGATAAACGTTCAACAAACCGTCGGGCGAGAGATGAAAAAATGTAATGATCGCTCAGGGTGCCAACATTACGCTAAGTAAAAGTCACAACGGACTAAGTGGCCAAATTTGTCTTAATAGAGCAATACAATCTTACTCTCTGACTGAAATTGGGCTGAACTGGTTGGGCTTAAATGGTTGCATGTAACTATTAATTAACGTCAGTAACGTCAATTAACGTCGCGTCCAGTACGCGTGTGACATATACTTTTAGTCTGTAGCCTTACGGCGCGGCCCTGAGCTGTATTCGGGGTCGCAGCCTCCTGCCATTTATTACAGTTTTGATGTTCCTAGGAGTTAATTAAGCTTCCGCTGAATTAATCTTCATAGGTCACGTTATAGGTAACTTGCTATAATTGCCATATTGTCTTGTTCATGTTATAGTAGTTAGTTTATAGTTCTCTAGTGTGAAGTAGAATCGTTTTCTTGCTTTTGACAGAGTAAAGTAAGCCATATTTCCGTTGACAATTTAGAATTTAAAGACTAGGGCACAAACCATCCACGTAAGTTACTAGTGATTTGTATCTGTTGCCACATTCGTATTTATTTTAGCCAGGAATTGTGCGATACTGATATATTGGTTCTTTAAATACCCATGTATACTTGTACTTGGTATAAATCTTCAGTTTTGTATTTTCATTTGTTCTGATGTGCGGTATTTGTCCCGCAGTTTTACAAGAAGAATAAGGAAACACGGAATGACTATACTACTTTCCTTATCATTGTTCCTGCCTAGCTCGATGAGGTGGCCGTTTGTAATTTAGCCAGGACAACTGCGTTGTCGCGAACCAAAATGCTCTCAGACGAAGGAATAGAAGGTGTTATTCTTCAGCAAATCGCATAACCATCATTAAGTCGTAAAACCATCATAAAGTCGTAGAGCCATCATAAAGTCGTAAAACCATCAGGAAGTCGTAAAATCAGCGGGAAATCGTAAAACAATCAGCAGACGCATATTTCTAAGGGCATACATGCCTGAGTTCGCTGAGCAGTGAAAATTTAATAAGGAAATAAACTACTATAAAAACTCAATAAGTAGACAGGCAGATTAATTTTATTTAGTATCATAATATATTATTAAAGTACAAACATAAAGCAGTATGATATATTTACATTTAATTTTGAAGGAAAAGGTGCATGGATGACAGATGAAAACTACGGCCTACAAACTTTTCTATCAACTCATTCCAAATAGAATAACGAAAGATGTCAGTACACTAATCCAAAACGTGACACATATTATCAGTAAATTTCCATAAATAAAAATTTGTAATTTTGCACCGGTTTATATAGCTGTTTTCATACAAGAACATTTTCAAATAAAGTCGAAAACCACTTTTCCGGTATTAAAACGGTGTCTCCAAACTTCAAAAGCAAGATGACAGATTCCAGCACAGGTTTTAGTAGAAGTTGTGGCATTTAATTCACCAAGTCTTCGTCATTAGGCTCAAGATGTAAACAAACAGTGGATTTGATCCCTCTTAAAAAGTTTCTTTCTTCATTGAAGTCCAAATTTTTGTATCATTAGTGTTTCTGCAAATTTTTATAAAATATATGCCGGCATATTGTTTATATTGCTACTAATTTTTGGAAGGCCGATAAAAGATGAAGAAGAAAAATGCTGCTTCATTCAGTGGTCTCAGCACCAATTTCCATAGCCCATGTGGCCCAAACTTCCGTAATGTCCAAAACTGCGCCCGTAGAGACCTCCAAGATGACCATAGGAATTATACATGGACGAGTAGCCTAAGTAAGGCATATGACCGAAGCTGCCGTGGCCGTACATGCCGTGGCCGTACATGCCGTCACCCAACATGCCGTGACCCAGCATTCCATGGCCCATCATGCCGTACATTCCATGGCCGTAGCCCAAACCGTGACCATATAATCCCATGTAAGGATACATCTTCAATTCACTTCACAGATGAATTCCCTCTTCAATTCACGCCAACCAGCAACTTTTGGTGTCTTTTTCTGGAGATGTGCTACGAAGCTTTACTTTACTTCACTTATTTCACAGACGCGCCGAACGAGATTCGAAACTTCTTCAAATTCCAAGTAGATTTGCAGTCACGAAATCCGGAAGACACAACAAATTGATGGATGCACTATTTCAGAAGCACTGCAGTTCGTCTTTTGCGGTTCACAAAACTTGAATTTGGGTTCTTCGGGAAATTTTTCAGAATATCTTCGCTTTGAAAGCAACGACGGTGTTCGAAATATCACCTGACGAGATGTAGGCAGGATACTTCAGAAACATCTGCTCAGATTTTCACTCACATTTCAATCGGAGAACTGATATTAAATTAATTACTTCTGCTGTCCAACAAAATTATCTAAGTTGATACGAAAAACGCAATTTGCCATTTTTGTTAATTTTGTACGGATTCTCACTAGATGAAGATAATTAGAAGATCGCGTCTAATCAATTGACACAAAATTTGCGGTTAAAAGGAATTACAAGAAAGGAAAATGAATATAATGAAGATTTGACACGATTTTTTTCATGAAATTAAATACCTGATTCTATTGTAGCAAAGTCCATGGGGAAACTTTTCAATTATTAACCGTAAGTTGTTTATTGTTTGCTTGCATTAATTATTATCAGTAACAGTAAGTCATTCTCACCGAAGCCGCTAACGAAGCAATGACGTAAAAAAGATAAGTATGGTCTAGTGAGTCCATAAAACGAATTTTGGAATACATGAAAACAGGAAGAGCAAATTTGTTGAAATAAGTGACCGAGTCTACCAATAATATATTTTCTCCAAAATACTGTTTCATTCAGGTTTCAATTAATGGATTTTTCGATATAGTTATCGATTTTTTGTCGTATTAATGTAGTTTAAAATCGATCATTTCCCATGATTTACGTTACCTATGATTTTTTACAAAATCTAATGAAGATTGGATCCAATGAATTTCCTTTGCCTCAATTTTCTTGCACGTAATTTATAACAAGAAGAAAGATTTTGGTTCACACGGGAATTTTGATACTAGTCTTCCTCGGTCAATGTAGTCGGGCATTGCGTCAATATCTCCTGCAGTAGACTTGTAATTTGTTGAAATAAATTGAACAAAATCACCAAATGCCAGCTAAAACGTTATTAAACATTTACCGCATATACTGTTATGCAAATTAGAGATCTATCAAATCTCAATTATTTCCGTGAAAATTTTAATCAGAACACAAATAAATTAAATAAATTTTCGGATTGACCCATAACCTCATTTGAAACCATATATGAGCATCAATTAACCAGAGAACACTTCACCTAAGAATCTTCTTTGCGATTTCCTTCTTTTCTCTACTTTAATTTTAAAATACTTTTCAGAACTGACACATAACCGACTTTTAACCCGTCTCAGTCTACATAATAACCCTCTACCGCCTGGCACGAGTAACCGGAATAATATTGTCACAAGCATATTTCCCAACAATGATACGTTGCTACTGAGGGCAAAATGACTTGCACTGATGGTTGCCGCCACGTACAACTTTAAAATGTTCTCTGTTGCGTACAATCGTACTCAAGTTGCTACACTCAATAGTTCTCGTATAATCTAAGTTGAAAGTTATGCTCCCGCAGAGTGACATACGGCTGTAGAGGGTTAAAACACTAGCGTTATACACAGTAAACCAATTGAACGAGAGATCAGACTTAATTCGCTGGGGTGTGAGTTCAATCGGCAGTTGAGTGTGAGTTCAATCGGCAGTTGAGAGTGAGTTCAATCGGCAGTTGAGAGTGAGTTTAATTAATTGGCAGTTGAGAGCATGAGTTCAATCGGCAGTTGAGAGTGAGTTCAATCGGCAGTTGAGAGTGAGTTAAATCGGCAGTTGAGAGTGAGTTCAATCGGCAGTTGAGAGTGAGTTCAATCGGCACTGAAGAGTGAGTTCAATCGGCAATTCAATCGGCTTCATTTATATGATGAAAATCTATGTATTCGAGAGCGCTTCTACCTATTATTTTCGCGTACATCTTTATACAGAGGGTTCTCTACCTGCGACACATTTCATTCTCGTATTAAAGGAATTATATTCCAAGATGAAATACTGAGTGTAGTCTTACTTGCTTTGTTCGGTATAGCATGAAAGAGCAATCCAGAAACATCAGGTACCATTCAGGTAAACTTATGCAAAATTACATACTTTCAGAAATTTTTGCATACATTATTAAGTTCAACGTTAGAATTCTGAGCCTCCATTATCAGTATATTTTTTTGCAATAAATGTCTGCTCCGAGCTTATGATCGTATTTAATGATCGTCGACATTTGTACACGTTTATCCCTGCTATTGTTCGAGCGTGACCTTTGCATTACCTGACTACAATTACTCAAGATTTTACATAATAGAGTGTTGACAACGGAGCGGCCTAGCCTGAGCACTCATGGTTTGCATGAAACATTCTTCATCTGTTTAAATTTCCAGCAGATTCCTTAGCTTTTCAATAATCCACTGCATAATTAAGTATACTACTTTATCCAACCTTTCGAGATTCCTTTCATGTTAGACTTGGGAATGAAAATCTTTATTAGTTATGAACAATTAATTTTCAGCTAATAAATTAAGATTATACAGCGAAATACATGCATGCTTAAGTCTAAAGTGCGCATGCGTAAGTCTAAATTGTGCGAAAATTCCTTAATGTTAATAGTTGAAAAGTTTAAGTTTATGGTCTAAGGCTAGTCTAGTCTTTAAAAGTTTAAGCTAGTCTAAGGTTTGAATTCGTTGAAATATTTTAATACTTCACAGAATGGTTATTTTGTTACACGAGCGAAAAATTGTATTTTTATTCAAATCACCTACTATTGCAAGGCTCTCATCTAATATTTTCTTCATAATGTCATATCTCCTAAAAATAATCAAAATAATCTAATTCCAGGACCCTAATTCATCAAATTATCTAACGTATTGGAATTAATGATTGATATGTTCGACCAGGTTCTTTGCTTCAATCCACTTCTATGATGACCATCTCCTAACTATATCTTAAGATTTAATTGAATATTCGAGTATTATGACGCTTTCCAATATTATGCCTGAAAAGGTCATAATATTAAATGCTTCCTAATATATACAGGCATGGTGAGTTCAGCATATAAAAAATGTTATTCACTTTTCTCTGATGGACAAATGTTTCCTTAATGGTTTCTCTGACAAGAATCTATTAAGATGAATGCCGTAACCATACGCTATTCTTTCATGAGTTGAATATAGATTCTCCTTTAATGCAAACTTGTTATGAAAAAATGCGCTATCTCATGTTTGATTGAGAGCAGTATTGAATTTTCGTATTTCTAAAATCACAAACAATCATGTTTTTTCTCTTATTTTATTTATGTACTTTATACTCTTCGCTATGATTTTTTCTCTTATTTTATTTATATACTTCATACTGTATGATTTTCGTGCATTTTTGTGTAAAAAAAATACGAATGTCATACAAGTGCGATAGATGACCGCAGAGAATTCATTGATTTTGAGAATTTGAAAATACTCGTAAGTTTTATATCATTCTAAATGCCGTTAATAAATTAAAATTACTTCCTTAAACTTACCTTACGATCTAACAACGTTATCTGAAGAATAAAAGTACTCGAAATTCGCTGTTCACTTTAGACGTTTCAATAATCTCATATCGTTATCTAATTGGCCAATCACAGCAGTTGCTATTGTTTACAAGATTCTGCGTTCCGGTGAAGATATTATTCAGCTTCATTTTTAAAATTTTATTTAAAATGTCTAAAACTCGAGAGTTGGCGACAGATTTGCGTCAAAAGATCATCGGTTGTCACATGAAAGGGAAGGGTATCGAAGCAAGAAAGCGCGTGGTCAACACTCAATAATGCACACCTTGATCAGAGTCTGCCTGCTATATATGAGTGACGTTCTCCAGCGACGCCTTGACTGTAGCACGTGGCTGCCAGCAGGCTCATACTCCTCAGGACTCAGGAGGAGAGACATGGCCAGAAGTGTGCCGTCAATCTTGATAATAAACGTTTGGTTGAAATTTCAGTGATTTAGCGGGACTGAAATTACAATAAACCAAATTTGAGCAGTTTCATATCATGAAAATGTCCACGAAAACGAGACTCGGGAGTTCCTCGATAGTTTTCAGTTTCGTTTTACCTCTCCTCCTCTTTGGCTCGTTGGTAACTCCAACTTGTGCAGTTTTGTCCAGCGTCTCACTGCCCGGGTCTGCTCAAGGAACTTCGATGCTGCAAGAACTGCTCGACGGTCCTTTCAAAGGCTACGATCTCTTCATCTTTGATGACACTCATTCTTCTAACGTCTATTGGAACGAAGTGCAAACTTTGGACTCTGCTGTTATACAAACTTCTGCAGACGAGTTCGATTCCACGAAGTTTCCGTTAAAGACTTACTCCGGGAAGAACTTTTCCGTCATTTGGCTCATTGATTCAAACGATTTTAAAATTAATAAGCTAATAGAGAAGCCATCTCTGTGGTGTCCACAAAAACTCGTAGTATTGAGCCTGAGCGCTGACGTTGAATTATCTAAACTCATTGATACCAAAGCAATACAATGTTCAAAATTTGCAGTTATTATTACACCGAGTAAAACTTTTGAGACAAGCTTGGTTTATACGACTTTTCCCCTACAAAAAAATTCCCTCACACTGCTAGGACGATGGAATCTGCAAAGCTTCGAGAAAGAAGATTCATTATTCATTGATCGTTTTGCAACATTTTCTGGAAGCATTTTGCAACTCGCATCCTGGTGCGACGATTACCCTCTGCTTTACGCTCTGCCTTACCCTCACAATGACACATGCGTAGGTTCTAACATAGACGCTTGGGATATCGTGAGTTCTCATTTGAATTTCACTTACACATTGGAAATGGAACCTTTTGATCATATGTGGGGGTCATACGAAAACGGCA